GGACAGTGCTCACCAGTGGCAAGAAGGACTGGCGTACAACGGCGGCAACGGCGAGGCCGGCACCACTGTAGGGCGAGGGCTCCGCGCCAGCGGCAGGTGGCGGCTGCTCCAGGGGCGGCTGCTCCAGGGGCCAGGGGTGGCTGCTGCAGGGGCGGCGGCTCCAGGGGCGGCTGCTGCAGGGGCCAGGGGCGGCTGCGGCAGGGGCGGTTGCTCCAGGGGCCAGGGGCGGCTGCTCCAGGGGCGGCTGCTGCAGGGGCCAGGGGCGGCTGCTGCAGGGGCGGCTGCTCCAGGGGCCAGGGGCGGCTGATCCAGGGGCGGCTGCTGTAGGGGCCAGGGGCGGCTGCTACAGGGGTGGCTGCGCCAGGGGCCAGGGGCAGGGGCGGCTGCTGCAGGGGCGGCTGCTCCAGGGGCCAGGGGCGGCTGCTCCAGGGGCCAGGGGCGGCTGCTGCAGGGGCGGCTGCTCCAGGGGCCAGGGGCGGCTGCTGCAGGGGCGGCTGCTCCAGGGGCGGCTGCTGCAGGGGCCAGGGGCGGCTGCTGCAGTGGCAGCTGCCCCAGGGGCCAGGGGCAGGGGGGGGGGGGGGGAAAGGGCCGTGAGAGGGCCGCGTGAGGCTGCGAAGGGGCCGTGGAAGGGGCCGTGCAGGGCCGCGAAGAAGGCCGCGAGGGGCCGCGAAGGGCCGCGACGGGCTGGGAAGGGGCCACAAAGGGCCGCGAAGGGGCCGCAACGGGCCGCGAAGGGGCCGCGACGAGCCGCGAAGGAGGCCGCGACGAGGTCGCGACAGGGGGCCGCGAAGGGGCCGTGAGAGGGAGGGCCGCGAAGGGCCGTCTAAGGGGTCGCGAGGGGCCGTTTAAGGGGCCACGAAGGGGCGGGGAAGGCCACTAAGGGGCCGAAAATTTACGGGCAGGGCGCAAACGCGCTCCGGGCAGCTAAAAAAAGTGCTTGTGGTGGGCCCTAAAAAAAAAAACGGTCCTTAGGAAGGACCTGCTCTATACCATGTGAAAGGATTACGGGAATGATCATTAGGTAAATGAAGGTATGTGTACCCCGTAAGGCTAGACCCAGTACGACAGCCTAGATTAATGTTAAACATATAATTTGACATCAAGGGCAGTAAGGTCAGCAATCGCAAAGGTAATCTGTCGCGACTGTTGACATCTTGACCGATTGACTTAGCATCGAGGAATGGCAAGAGGCGTAACCATCTGGACGGTTACACGCAGCGACTCGGTAACAAGAAGAAGAGCAATAGCCAGAGTCACTGTAAAAGTGCCTGTATAACAATTAAAAATATGGGAATGCACCCCTTTGAGTACATGACTAGCTAGATCTATTTATTGCTTGTACTTCATCCTTTTAATCAGTCTTGCCATTTACATTCCCTATGCATAAGGTTCCTACCACAAGTCTTTTGCTAGCGAACTCTCCAAGGCAATCCTATCATATCCAAGATCCTCACTATAGCAACGCGTTCGCGCTTTGTTCTCTCAGACGTCACGATATGGTATGGCAAGACGCACCAACAAGATCAAAAGACACGTAAACTTGGAACTGCTATCCGCGAGATGGGATAGTTGCTGCTTAGGATCCAAATATTTTGGAGTAGTAGATCCAAACGGAACACGTGAAGAAATAACTGATGTCCCTATATGATCAGCTGTACTACTATTTTCATGTCGAAATGATGTGTGCGCGGAAACTGCGTGACAAATGGTGGAGGGAAAGACAATTTGTATACATACATAATGTACTGCAACAATATTTTTTTGAAGTGGCCAACCTTGTGCTGAACAAATTCTCTCCGCACTTATTCACACCCTAACACGGAAATCGAACAACTCACAAACAGATGGCCCCCCAAACCACTCGCAAACAAACCTCACCAGGTCCGCCAGCAATGGATTTGCGCATGAGGGAAGCTGTTCGCTTCGGACCAGGACGCGCTGAGCAGTGGGCATACACCATACGCAAGTCCCCCCTGCCTTGCCCATCACTGTCGTCGCTGCAATGTGCTTTGCCACTGGGGGTTTCTATACGGTGGCATGCATTATTCTTACATGTCAGGTCGGTAGATTGCGTTACGTTGCGGCAATTTCTCACCCCTGCCTTACGCATCGCGACTCGTGCCTTACCTCGCGGAGTGGGCTGATGTTGTTTCGCGATATTCAGCGATTACGCCTCGCTGTGGCCACGTTGCGGGCGCGAGCGATGGTGGTGGTTACCCTAGATTCCAAAAAAGCACGTGGGGACGGCTCGCTGTGGTCTCATTGCGCCAGCAATTAAGCCCACGGGGTTGTTTTAGGAGCAAATGTGGTTCTCCCCTGCTCTGACGTACACACCATCGCGTCCCGTCAGCCACACCTAACGAGCGAGTACTTATCAGCTCGATTCTCAACTCGTACCAACAAACAGCATCAGCCCCTTTACCTTCTAAGCATTCCATTAGTGAACAACCTAAAATGCAAATATGGCTCGCCTTACCGGTCTGTTCTTAATCCTCGCCATCATCAGCCTGGTCCTGCATGCAGCGGATGCGACTAACATGCCTGCTGGCGGATGCCACACTCGCTACGTCTGCCCCTACATAGACGACCTCGCTAACGCAACAATCGACGACACCACTTACACCGACTACACCTTCATCGGCGATTACCAGGGGCAGTTCAACGACCAGGGCGGCCAGTTCGTGCCACACCAGCGCGGTTCGGGTCCCGTGAATTACGAGCGTTACACGGAGGTGGGGACCGTTTTCGACGTGGTGAAGGGCGTGTACGGCGACACGCTGCAGGAGTGCTGCCGCGCATGCGCGCGCACCACCTACTGTTACGAGTGGCATTGGTTTAAGAAGTAAGTGCCGGCTCAGCTGAGTTTTGTTTTTCCAGAATTCGCGCCAATACGAAAGCTTTACTTCTGGAGTCGCTGTTTTCGAAGAGCGCAGCTCTTTGCGCGCTAAGCAATTGATTTTCATTCCACCTTCGATTCTCTCTCCCTCTCTTCCTTCCCCCAGTCCGCGCCTCGCCGGCGAGAATGCGAATGTGGCGGGATTCATCGACCGCGTGCAGTGCTACCTGCTGGAGAAGAACGCCGGCACGGGTACGTCGGGCCCTTTCAGTACGCCGTACGCGGGCGACACGGCCACGCAGGTTGCCAACTCGGCGTCTTACCCGCTGAGCTTCGTCGGCGGGCTCTGCAACGGCACGGCGCTCGTCGAAAACGACCCGCATCTCACGGGCGCGCACGGCACGCACTTCGATCGATTTCACCGGGCGGCTCGGCAAGTCGTTCTGCCTTTTTTCCGACCGTCGATTCCACGTCAACATGCATCTGAACGGCTACCAAGGCCCTCCTCCCGCACTTCCCGCGTCGGCCAAGGCAAGCGAGTCGAGCACGGAGCTGCACACGTGGATTAAGGAGCTCGGCGTCGTGTGGATGACGCCCGACGGCGCGAACCACACGCTGCGCATGGTTGCGCGCAAGGGGAAGCAGCAGGAGCGCGGGGAGAACGGCTTCGTGTCGCTCATTCAGATCGACGGCCTGCTGGCCATCCCGCCGCCCGTCGGCGAGTCGATCGCGACAAAAATCGGGCTGGTGCTTACCAAGATCGCAGAGGAGAAAGAAGGGCCGTTCGACGTGGATCAGTTTCGGGTGCGCGTGGCGGGGCTGGGGGAACTCGACGTGCGCGTGCGCGTGGCGCACCCGCTGCTGCAGACCCCCACCGAGGCGGAGGCACACTTCAACGTGGAACTTACCGACGTGGCAATGACGTCAGCCGTGCACGGCGTGCTGGGGCAGACTTTTAGAAGCACGCCCGAGCAGCTGCAGCGCGCGGTGAAGTATTCGCACCTGGCGGCGCTGCTGCACCACCCCGTGGACGTGGATAAGGCGGAGGGCAGGGGGTTCCTAGACGGGGAAGTCGAGGACTACATCTCCTCGTCCGTCGTCGCGCCCGACTGCAAGTACGCCAGCTACGGCTCGGCATAAGGTCATCTCATTAGCTGTGACACCACGCAAGGTCTATCTGCAATTGGCTCTCACAGACGTCTCGAACAAAGTAGATTCGGAAGGGAATCTTTACGTCTCATCGTGGGCTGAGTGATAAACTGGTGCTGGAAGGAAGGACGGAATTGGGTGCTGGGTGTGAGGAAGGGTGGCGGGGCTGGAAGGAAGGCGGAATTTGGTGATGCTGTTGCTGAGTACTTTTACAGGCTAAAATAGCGAGCCGCTGTGCGCCACGGGCATTTTACACGGTTGGGGAGAAAATTGCGACCCCTGACACTTAGACAATTTCGCCAACGGCAATCGCGCGGTCGCTGTTCAACGTAATACGAACGGTGCGAATCTGTCTGTTCGCGCTGGGAAGCACCAGATTTGGTCGCCAACAACCATGCGAGTTTCCTTGCGAGCTCTAACGAATGGAATTACTACACATGTTTCAGCCACCCTTCAGTTCGCATCGTCAAAATTCAGGTCTTCAACGCCATAATAAGGACCTGCCAGTGTAATAGTTCTGTCTATTGTCCATTAAATTCTTTCTATGGCCTGTGTATCACAAACAAAAAGCACACAACGAAATCTACTTATCAGCCACTGGTTTACGCATCTGCAAGTACAACCTCTAGGCTGGAAACATTATTTGAATTTTCTTATAAGAACACTGTGACATCAAGAAACTCTCCGGCATAAAGAAGCAGCAACTCTCTTGCATTATTTGTGCATGGTTTAATATTATGACATCGTAACCTGGCTGCAACTACTTGTGAAGGCTACTCTTATCCATCCATATCTGGCGTCAGTGAGCAGCACCACTCGGCAGCGGACCTTGTTGGCCTCAACCTCATCATGTCTCTTCAATTTCCCAGCTTTCACATTGGTAAGCAAGCAGCAGTACTACCCACCCATCCACCCATCCGCCCCTCCACCCACCCATCCACCCATCCGCCCCTCCACCCATCCATCCTTCCACCCATCCATCCCTCCACCCATCCACCCATCCACGCATCTGTATCTACTCAACATCAGTGAGCAACACCACACGGTAGCGAACCTTGTTGGCCAAAACTTCATCCATGGCCTCGTTGAGCTGCGACAGCGGCCGCGTCTGTAACACATGGGTTGTAACCAGGTGGTAAGAGATAGGTTAGAGGGAGGTGAGAGGGAATGAATGGAGGGAAGAATCTGTGCTGAGTTTATTAAACGTTGGACCCTGCTCCATCCGTAGCCTTGTACACCAGAGACTGTGGTCTTGATGTAACACACAGGTGGTAACCAGGTAATAACAGGGTAGTGACCAGGTTGTAACATTCACACTTACTCTAACTTTCACTCACCAGTCACCCACACTAACACTCACTCACCAAAATCACAGTGACTCACACTCACACTCACTCACCACCGTCACAATCACACACACACACACCATAGACAGTCATACCAGCACTCACACACCACAGTCACGCTCACACTAACACTCACTAACATTACTTTCACGAGGTGGTATCTTTATCACATCCAACTCACTCACACACTCTCACCAGTCAGTCACACTCTAACACACACACACACTCACCAGAGTCACGGGCTTGATGCTGTTTGCAGCGCAGAAGTCAAACATTTCTTTCACGAATGGTAACCAGGTGGTAACCAGGCAGTAACCAGGCACTGAAGAGGAGATCAAAGTCTCCCCCCCCTCTTCCCACTCACCACAGTCACGGGCTTGATGCTGTTTGCAGCGCAGAAGTCAAACATTTCTTTCAGCAGCATCCGCCCGCCCACAATCGACCCCGCAAGTTTCTTCTGCCCAAAAATCAGGTCCAGCAGGCCCACCTGGCCGACAGCATCAGGTGGAATCCCAGCCAGCACGAGCCTGGGAGAGAGGGAGAAGGGGGGAAGTGGGAAAGGGGGAAGGGTGAATGGGAACATATATAGGGGGGATGGGAAAAATGAGACCCAGCAGGCCCACCTGGCCAACAGCATCAGGTGGAATCCCAGCCAGCACGAGACTGGGGGGAAGGAAGGCGGAAGGGGGAAGGGGGAGATGGGGACAGGTGGACGGAGGGAAATAGGGACAGGGGAGAGGGGAACAGGGGGAAAGGGGACAGGGGAGAGAGGGACAGGGACGAGGGAAAATTAGATCCAGAAGGCCCACCTCCCCAATAGCAACAGCTGGAATCCCAGCTAAGACGAACCAGCTAACAGGGGGTAAGGGAAGCACGATGGGAACAGGGAAGAGGGGGGTAGGAGAAAGGGGGAACAGAGAGACTTGCGCACGCCCCATGCCCTTTGCCCATGCTGCTACAAAAGTTAGGCTTAGTCACGGCAGCACAGGCCGAATAGTCACAGACTTTGCGCACGCCCCACGGCAGAATAGTCATACTCACGTGCCGTCAGGGTTGAGCAGGCACATAAAGTTGCGATAATCCCCAGCGGGCGGCAGCACAGGCGTGCAGTTCACGAGCACATCCACGTGCGCCCATGCAACCCCATTCCCCTACGCCTCTACCCCACCCCCACTCTTGCCTTGACTCACGTGCCATCCGGGTTCAGCAGGCTCATGAAATTCCGATAGTCCTCGTTGGGAGGCAGCACAGGCGCGCAGTTCACCAGCACATCCACGTGCGCGCTCTTAGGCACTTCGGAATGGCCCTTTTCCCACTCCTTGAAACAGCAATGCATCAACTCACTCACGTGCCATCCGGTTTCAGCAGGCTCATGAAGTTCCGGTAGTCGCCATTAGGTGGCAAGACAGGCGCACAGTTCACCAGCACATCCACATGTGCGCTCCAAGCCTAGGCACCTCGGGATGCCCGTGCCTTGTCTACACCACTACACCACCCCTACCCTTGCCTTGACTCACGTGCCATCAGGGTTGAGCAGGCTCATGAAGTTCCGATAGTCTCCGTTGGGAGGCAGCACAGGCGCGCAGTTCACGAGCACATCCACGTGCGCGCTCTTAGGGAATGAGGCAATAAGGGGAGGGGAGAGGCGCACTCACGTGCCGTCAGGGTTGAGCAGGCTCATGAAGTTCCGGTAGTCCCCGTTGGGAGGCAGCACTGGAGCGCAGTTCACGAGCACGTCCACGTGCGCGCTCTTGGGCACCTCGGGGTGCCCCTTTCCCGGCGCAGCATTCGCATCATACACCACAAACTGCTGTGCGCCCATGCTCTTGGCCTCCTCCTCTTTCGTAGGAGAGGTGGAGAAGGCAGTCACGTGCGCCCCCATGGCCCGGGCTATCTGCAAAGCCAGGTGGCCGAGACCTCCTATGCCGATCACGCCCACCTTCATGCCCGGGCGGGTGATGTGCGCGCGGAGAGGGCTATATACAGTGATGCCTGGGAGGGGAGGAGGGGAGGGAGGGGGGAGAAGGGAGAAGGGGAAAGAGGAGCGTTGGCGTCATACACCACAAACTGCTGCGCGCCCATGCTCCTCGCCTCGGCCTCCTTAGAGGCAGTGGTGGAGAAGGCAGTGACATGCGCCCCCATGGCGCGCGCGATCTGCAGGGCGAGATGGCCGAGACCCCCAATGCCGATGACTCTGACTTTCATTCCCGGGCGGGTGATGTGGGCACGGAGAGGGCTGTAGACCGTGATGCCTGGAAGGGGGGAAGGGGGGAAGGGGGGAAGCAGGGGTGTGAGGGGGCGTCCCCAGCCCTTGTTGCCGTTCAAGATGACTCCCCAGCCCCCAACCCCCAACCCCCAGCTCCCAGCCCCATGAACCGTGCGTACAGATACTCACCGGCGCACATGAGAGGCGCGGCGTCCACGGAATCGAGCCCATCGGGGAGTTTGATGGCGAAATCGGCGGGCGCGCGCAGGCGCGGCTGGAAGCCGCCCTTGTTGCCGCTCAGGATGAGCCCCGTGTAGCCCTCCGCGCACAGGTTCTCCTCGCCGCGCACGCACGACAGGCAGCAGCGGCACGAGTTGCGCAGCCAGCCGTATGCGACGCGATCGCCCTGCAATTTTGGGTCGGTACGGAGGGGTGGAATGGGTAGAGAGGGATGGGAGGATGGACTTCGTGTTTCCCTCCTCCCCGCGCACGCAGGAATCGCGCGGCCAGCCGTACGCCACTTGGTCGCCCTATGGGTGCGGATGGGTGCAGATGGGCCACTCGGTCTCCCTATGGACAGAGAAGAGTGGAAGGATGAACCTCGCGTCGTATCGCTCCCCTCCGCGCAAGGGTTCTCCTCGCCGCGCACGCAGGACAGGCAGCAGCGGCACGAGTTGCGCAGCCAGCCGTATGCGACGCTGAGGGTGGGAAGAGAAGGGTGGGAGGATGATCCCCTCGCGTCGCGGAGCCAACGCGACGAGGTCGCCCTGCATTCGCACGCGGGGAGGGTCGGGTTTGGGATTTAGCAGGGGGCGCGGAAGGTCAGCGCGGGGGAGGATGAGCTCCGCGCGTCTCTCCCCTCCATCCGCGCGCGTGGGAGTTCTTCACACCCCGCATTCAACCCCTCGCGCGCAAGCACTCCCTTCCGCGCACAGGCTTTTCCGCTCACACGGCACATACAAGTCCCTCTGCGCGCCGCAGGCTCAAAAGCAACTCCGATTCGGGAGGAGGGGGTGAGACGGTGTTACTATAACTTCGGACAACATTTAAACTCAAATTCCCGTACAATCAAACTCTGCCACTAATAAGTCGACGGCTCGGTGGCATTCAAGAATTTCGTTCGTTCATTTCCTCCTCAGTTGGACGGATAGGATTGAAGCGAGCGAATGAGAATTTTTTTACTTACGACTTTGTGCGTAGTGACGTTGTCGCCGACCTGCTCCACTACGCCCACCACCTCGTGGCCTGCTACTAACGGGTACGTCGCGTTGTTCCAGTCGTTGTCACGCATGTGCAGGTCCGTGTGGCACCTGCGCGGATATCAAGTCGACGGACACAGATGGCGTTACTAACGGGACAAGCTTTTAACGGGAACGTCGCGTTGTTCCAGTCGTTGTCGCGCATAGGTCCGTGTGGCACCTGCTCGGATATCAAGACGACGGATGGCGTTAACGGGTCAGATTTCTAGCGGGTACGAGGCGACGGCTTCGGAGCTTGGCTACAGCTGGCTCACAGGCCGTTACGAGCGACTCGCAGGCCGTTCGAGCGACTCGCAGGCCGTTCGAGCGACTCGCAGGCCAAGATGATCTACTCGCGAGCCGTTATAAGGAACTCACAGGCCGTTATGCGTGACTTTAATCTGCACGTCGTTGGGTCCCAATGGGGCCGGCTCGTAGTGAAACGGCTCGAACTTCTGCTTCGGACCCAGACACGCATACGCGAAGAATTTGCCGTCCGCAGCCATGATGAACGTAAATGAAAAAAACGAAACGGAAGTGGATGGATAGTTCTAAGAAAGGTGATTCCTGAAAGAGAGAGCTGGAAAAAGGTTTCTGAAATTTGGAAGCGATTTTGGATCTGGTGGTGAATGTGAAAATAGCTTCTTCAGCTAATTTGCTGGGTCTTCACAAGCTTCCGATCGTCGGGGTGTTCTTGCTCGGGGGCTTGTTCTGGAAGCGTACGAAAGCCCAAGGCTCAAGATGAGGCCGTCTCCAACTGCCTAGCCCAGTGGCCCGCCGATAGTTTCTTGGTACAACAAAAAAATCCCGAGAAACGCGGCGCAAACATGTCAGCAACTGCATTGGGTTCGACAGTCTCGCCTCATAGTTCTTGGGATTGGTGTGTTCCTAAAATCTGTCTCGCTCAAAACCTCTCGCAACCGTTCAGCTGAGCTATAATTTATAATCTAAAACGCAAACCACCGCATCCTTGCAAGACTGAGGGGACTCCTTTGGAATTAGGGGGGGAAGGCACAGGGCAGGGTGGGCGGTGCCTGCTGAAAACAAGTCGGCTTCTTGCTCGTGCCGCCACCCAGTGTCACTCCAAAGCTGCTCGAGAATGCCGCCAGCGCGTCGCGAATTTCTTGCCAAAGCTGCACGGCCCACCGAGACCGTGTTTCCTAAAGGTTATTTTATCGGAAATCCATGCTGCGGTACAGTAACGAACAGCAATTACCAGCTGCGAAAATTGTTCGGTCGCATAACACGAGCGACAGCACTCAAGAAGACCAAGACCGAGCATGAACCGCACGAGTTGAGCAGCCAGGTGGGAGCTGGTGTGTGCCTCAAGTCGTACTTCCAGTGTACGGATCATAAAAAACACGGACTCGAGTCTGTCACTTAATTAGCTGAACGAGTTGCAAGAGGCACTGACATATACGAGAATGTCAAGATCACCACGCGAATCCCGATTTCACGAATTGGGTGCCGATTCACCAAATCCGTTTTCTCTGTCCACGTGGACTAAAAGTCGTCTCACGTGCTTCGACTTCCAGCACGTTCGATCCCAAATCTATGCACACTTGGCGTGCCAAATGGGCGAGATTATCCAAGCTGGAAAGCTGAGGTGGATGGCACAAAATTCCTATCCTTTCCTATAGCATTTACAGATACAATCACTAGCTTGATTACATGTGCACTTTAATTACGTTTTGATTTGTTTGTGATTTTTGGACGGCTCTTTACAATATCACGATATCGCAAGGTAACCTGTAAGGAAAATCCACTTTCCTTACTTCGCACGCCTGCGAATTTCACTGTTTCGAATGTTCCCTCAATCTTGATTCTTCCTGATGCTGCCATGTGGCACCGGATTGGTTGAGTTTTCCGAAGTAAATCTTTAACTCCACGCAAACCTGCAGCTCACTCGAAGGTGAGCACCAAAAACAGCACCGTTCGGTGGTTGGGGGCAAAACCTAGCCCCACGCAACCTCCAACACTCCCCCTTGCACCCAAGCCACTAGGTGCTCAATCCAACACGCTCACAGCATGCACTGAATGAATCCTTAGGGAATGGTTTGGTGAGAAAATCCGCTGGTTGAGCTTTGGTGCTTATGTAAGTGAGTTTGACCTCAACTTTCTCAACCGCCTCACGAATGAAGTGATGCTTCACTTCAATATGCTTGGTTCGCTCATGAAGGACGGCGTTGTGAGAGAGGCTTATGGCGGCTTGGTTGACACAAAAGAGAGGAGTTGGGTTGGGTTGAGGATGCCCAAGCTCCGCTAGAAGACGCCGTAGCCATATCGCCTCCATGGCACCTTGAGTGAGTGCCATATACTCCGCTTCCGTTGAGCTTAGAGCCACGGTTGGTTGCTTCTTGCTTTGCCAACTCACGGCTGCCCCAAGCAAGGTGAAGACGTACCCGGAGGTACTCTTGCGCGTGCTCGGATCTCCCGCGTAGTCCGAGTCGGCATAGCCCTTGAGTTCAATCGGGCCGGCTTCATACACGAGCCCCAAGTTAGGTGTGCCTTGGAGGTAGCGTAGAACGCGTCCTCCCGCACGCACGTGCTCAGTATGAGGGTTGCTCACGACTCGTCCAAGCACCCCGGCGGCGTATGCGAGGTCGGGACGAGTAGAAACGGCGGCATACATGAGCGAGCCCACTAGCGAATGAAACCGCTTCCCTTCGGCTTCATCGAGGGTGGATTCTTCCTCTCCCGTGAGGCAAGAGAACCCCGTAGCTAGTGGTGTTCCCACCGGTTTGCTATTGCCCATGCCGAAGCTCTCCACTACCCCCTTCACGTACTTCTCTTGATGGAGGTGAATGGTTCCATTGGCTCGGTCACGGTCGACGTGCATCCCGAGGTAGTACGTGACTGACCCCAAGTCCCTCATAGCAAACTCCGCCCCGAGCCGTTGCTTGACCTCCCGAATGAGGTCCTTGGAGTCGGAGAAGAGGAGTAAGTCATCGACGTAGAGCAAAAGCACCAATTGCTTCTCCCCCTCCTTCAACACGTACAAAGCGCTATCGCACTCGCTACGCGCGAAGCCGTGTTGAAGAAGAAAGTCGTCGATGCGTGGACTTTGCTTCAAGCCATAGAGGGTACGCTTGAGCTTCCACACCCTTCCGCTACCGTCATCGTACCCCGGGGGTTGCCGCATGTAGACTTCTTCCATAAGAAGCCCGTAGAGGAAGGCGGTGCAAACGTCCAATTGCTCCACCTCGAGGTTAAGCAATGCCGCTAGAGCAAGCAACACTCGAAGAGTTGTAGCCTTGGCGACGGGAGCAAAAGTCTCACTATAGTGCTCCCCCTCCTGTTGAAAGTACCCTTGAGCTACAAGGCTCGCCTTGTAGCGCTCGACACTCCCATCGGCTCCCAAGTTCTTCTTAAGCACCCATTTGCACCCCACCAAATAGGCACCCTTCGGCGGGTCGACGAGCTCGAACACATCGTTCTCCTTGATCGATGCTAGCTCCTTCTCCATCGCTTGCTTCCATTGGGGCGCATCCGGAGAAGTCAAAGCCTCCGCGTAGGTGCGAGGGTCATCTCCCATGGTTGCGAAGCAATATGCCGCACGCTCCTCATCCAACTCCCCAACGACTATCGTAGCGTAGTCGGCTAACTTCGTGCTGGGGTGAGGTGTACGACGCCCACGGGTCAACGCCAATGGTAGGGAAGAAGGTGCGGAGGAAGTTGCCTCCTCGGTTGGTGGCACCTCCACGACATCGTCATCGCTCTCTTCGTTCTCTCCCCCTCCATTTTTGGCTTCCTTTTCCACTTGGGGTGGAACCTCGATCGCTTCATCCTCCTCTCGTGCGGGAAGGTCGACGGTGGGTTGTGGTGTTGGTAGTTCCTTCATCGGAAACTTCTCTTCGTCGAACACCATGTCCCGAGATGTGACAACGCGCTTTTCCGCCAAGTCCCACACTCGCCATGCACGTTCGTTCGCCGCAATTCCCAAGTAGATCGCCGCACGAACCTTCGGTTGCAACATGTGGCGATGTGGGTCCGGTACATGGTAGTAGCAAAGGCACCCAAAGGTGCGTAGGCGGGATAGGTTCGGCTTCGTTCCGGTCCATGCTTCGAACGGAGTCGTTCCCGGGAGCACCCTCGTCGGCAAACGATTGCGAATCCACGCCGCTAACGAATTCGCCTCACCCCACCACTCGCTCCCAAGCTTGGAGTGTTGAAGAAGAGAACGAACGGCTTCCACCAACGTGCGATTAAGCCGCTCCGCCGCTCCATTTTGTTGGGGTGTGTAGGGTGTTGTGACGTCGTGCTTAATGCCCTTGCTCTTCATCCATTTCTCAAGCTCCGCGTTCACTCGCCGCCACCGTCCGTGCGAATAACCTTGATCCGCTTCTTGTCGTCGTCGCAAACTTCGAGCGCCCACTCTTGAATCGCCTTGGCCGCATCTCCCTTAGCCTTCAAGAGTCGGGTCCAACACATCCGCGTCGCGTCGTCGAGCATCACCAAGAGGAACCGCGCTCCTCCCTTTGATGCATGCCGCATCGGTCCACACACGTCCATGTGAACAATTGCAAGCGGGTCCTTAGCGAGGGGTGACGTTCGGCTACCAAATGGCTTGCGAGCCATTTTTCCTTCGACACACGCCGCACACACGCCCTTCTCGTCGTCGCCGGCGATCACGTCGACTCCCTTCGCAAGTCCTTTGTTGACCAACTTTTTGACCGAGTCGTAGTTGGCATGAGCAAGTCGATTATGCCACGCCTTGAGAGTCGCCTTGGAACCTTGCGCCACGTTGGATGAAGCCACTCCCGGGTGCGTCTTGAGTTGGTAGAGTTCTCCGTTGAGAACGCCTTGTGCGAATTGCTTCCCCTTCCAAAAGAGGTTCATCGTCGCGCCATCGATGGTGACCTTCACGTCCTTCTTCGCGAGTTGAGTGACGGAGAGTAGATTCACCTTCAATCCCGGGACGTGAAGCACTTTCGTGATGTCAACCGGTCCGCCATCGACGATGAGACGCGTACTCCCAACTCCAACCACCGGTAGCGACTTGTTGTTCCCGAAGACGACGCGTTTAACGTCCCGCGGTGCACCAACGTTGGTGAGGAATGATGCCGAGTGCGTCATGTGTTGCGTTACGCCGGTGTCGAGGAACCACGCGTCGCTCGAAGTGTTGGTCCCGTCACCGGCCAATAACACGATCGACTCCCTTGTATCATCCGCCTCGCCGGATGCCATGTGCGTGTTGCCCTCGTGGTTCCGCGCCTTTGATGGAGTCCAATCGCTCGGCCGCTTCCGACACTCTCGCCAAAAGTGTCCCGCTTTGCCGCAATAGTAGCACTTTCTCGCGCCGTCTGATGTGTTCCCCTTGCCGCGATCGCTTCCGCCGTACGACTTTTTCGTCACACCCTTGCTCCACTTGGACTTTCCTCCGGAACTCCCTCCGGAGAACATGGCGGTCTCCACGCTCTCATTAGCGAATTGTCGGCGACGCGATTCCTCATGGAGAAGCCGACCGACCATCGTTTCCTTTGTCCAAGTGTCTTGCACGCTATCGAGTGTCGTTATCACCGTCGACCACTCTTCCGGAAGACCGCAAAGCAAGGTCAAAATCCAATCCTCCTCCGTGACAGTTCCACCGAGGTCTACGAATGTTTCTCCGAGTTCCTCCACACGAGTCGCATACTCGTGCATCGATTCGCCCGCGCGCAACTTCACCGTGTAGAACGCGTTCCGGCCTAGGATCTTGCCATGGAGGGTCTTGTTAACGTGTATCGTCTCGAGCCGCTTCCACGCTTCATGCGCCGACGCTTCGAGCTTGATGCACGTGCGCACCGAACTCACGAGGTTGATGCCGATCCGTGAGAAGCGTAGCGAACGCCTTTTGGTCCTTCTTCTTCCATGCCGCGATTTCGCTCTCGTTGTCCGTCGGCCTTTTCTCCGTCCCATCGAAGAGACCCCAAAGTCCCCGCTCCATCATGAGCACTTGGAACTTAAACTTCCACGCGGAGTAGTTTTGTCCCGTGAAAATCGGTACCGCTGACGTGTCGAACATCGTCGCGGTTGCCCAGGGTTCGCCGGAATTTACAACGACACCACCCGAGGAAGTACCGGAGGCTTCGCTTGACGTCATCATGCTCGCTTCTCGTCACGCGCGTAGACTCCTCCGACCAGCTCTGATACCGCTGATGTAGAGGCGTGTCCTCTACTTTGCAGGAATTTGGAGTTGTACTAAACGATAGAGCACACTCTTGGCTTTCCAACGAGCCGTAGAACACGCGATTCGCCCAAGTAACGAAAAAGTTATGGCTGTCCACGTGCTTGCTTGTGCTCTTAGACTCAAAGATAGGAGCTCTCTGGATTTTTGTGTTAGAGTTGAACCGTGTATAGGAAACTCTGGTGCTGTTCGCCAGCAAATCGTTTTTTAAATTGAAAACGATGGCATCAGCATCGCGACCGCATATGGAAACGGGGGCGGAACCCTCCTCCGAGGTTTGGGCGAAATGCCGCCCGAAAGGCGAAATTTCGCAACCGCATCGGGAAGGTCCATCCCCACCTTCCCCCCAATGGCGCGAAATTTGCTCATCACCAACCCTTGTGCTGCCCGCTGTGCAAAATTTGCTCAACGTGGGTAAAAAGCGCAAATAAAACACCCCCCGCTCGAAGGTGTGTTTGGGATGGAAAAATGGGGGGTATACGAACCTCCCTTTGTCAAACTGCAGGCTTGTTCGAGGGTTCCCTTGAACAGCTATGCGTCCGCTGTGCCACCGCTGTGCTTCGAAAAACGCGGCATGACGATGGCATTGCAAGGGGATGGTGTTTTGCTTGGGGAGGAAGTTCCGTCCCCGCTTCCATATGCCATCGAAACGTTAAAATTGGTGTACAAAAGTGGGCGTTCGCCAGACGAAGGTGAGGCTCGGCACATTTTTCACGGGCTGACCAAGCTGACGGAGGTTAACGAACTCTAACTGACGGGATCAGGAAGGCGAGACCCACCTTCCTGATCCCGTCGTTGTACCGCCGTTTTTAGATATAATGGTGCTGGCGAACAGCCCCTCTGATTTTCAGTATGAAACATGCATACAAGTCGAGCACATTTATAGCAACTGGAATTCCTCGAATCGCACATGTAACATCTAGGCACTACGAGGTGTATCACAAACATTCGTGTAACAACTCGAAGGGGGTGAAATTCGGCAACCGAATTTCACTGTTTCGAATGTTCCCTCAATCTCGATTCTTCCTGATGCTGCCATGTGGCACCGGATTGGTTGAGTTTTCCGAAGTCAATCTTCAACTCCACGCAAACCTGCAGCTCACTCGAAGGTGAGCACCAAAAACAGCACCGTTAGGTGGTTGGGGGCAAAACCTAGCCCCACGCAACCTCCAACAACTGTCACCGACGTCGGTCAGACGCACTTGGCCGATTGGGATGGAGCACTTGTTGAAGTGCAAAAAGTGTAGTGCCTTCCTCAGAAAGTCGGCCAGTTGCTCGGTGGTCGAGATGTACTACAGGACAATATTCCAGCACTTCACCATCTGCTGCAGCCAAACGTAGTGTCGCTCCATGTGCTTGACATTGCCCTTCAGCCTCAAGCCTTCATCGACCACAATGGCCAGCTGGTTTTCCATGTTCAGGATAGTAGTCGTTCCGCAAGGTCAGTTTGAATTGCACGCAAAGGCGATGTCCGGCCTCGTCATCGTGGCAACGAACTGAAGAGAAGCGACCTTCTACCGATACTCTACTTCCTCTCGCAACCGAAACTCCTCGTCGTAAAATGTCAGCTCAGCGTAGGCATCAACGGAGACCGGCGTCTTCGGAACCTGACTAATCTGCTCCTCGTTGATGAAGCACCTATGCATCTTGTCAACGTAGGACTAGTGATAGATCCACAGTTTAGGTGCAAATCGGTCACGCACGATCTCTAGCCAAAGGTACTTTTTGACTGGGCGGATCTTGCGCATATCATAGGCGGCATTCAATAGCCCGCATAGCTTCTTCAGCATCGTGGTGCTGCTATTGACGACAAGCAGGGCATGAATATTAACGAGCACCTAGCACGCCACTCCTTCGTCGTTGACCTTCGTCGACTTGGCTCTTGCTCCAGCTGGCGCTAGTCAGAAGCACCGAGCACCATAGTAGCAGCGTCTGCTTCAGCCAGTACAAGCTCTTCAACGGCTTGCACACGCGGCCGATCTCGTCGTCGTAGCAGTCAGGCTGGTCCATGTAGAGCACACGGTCGAGCTTTGCTCTGCACGCAAAGACGTTCTTCTGTCGAGCTATACCAGGTGCAAGTCGAGGACGGCAACTATGTTGAGGAAGATCCTCAGCGTGAAGTAGCTCCCTACTAGTGCGTATGACTCGTCTGTATTGACGTTGCACGCTTGTATGAAGCCCTTTCACGACCAAGGGTGCCTTCTCCTGGGCAACTGCGTCGTCGACGTGGTACTTGGACATCAGCACCCAGCGGTTCTTCATCACGTTGACACCATGCGGACGTTCAATGAGCTCCCGCGTTGATGTCGACAGACTACTCCTCTGCGAACAGCTCCTCTTCGTCGTGGCTATCTTTGTCGCCGGCGTGCTGCTCCACCAACGTTGGCTCTTGGGCCGATTCCTCCGCCCGCTGCTCTCCTATCATCGGCTCCCCCGTCATCGGCTTCTTCCCCACCAGCTGCTCCCCTGTTGCAAGCTCCTCCGTAGCCAGTCGCTGTCACAACTTCATGAGCCTTCTGAATTCAGACCGTACGTGAGTGTTGTTTGATGCATTTCTCTTTCGTAACAGGTGGGAGCGCAGCAGTTTGTGGTGTATGATCTACACGCTGCCCATGCTAGGGGTCATCCCGAGGAGCCCAAGAGTGCGCATGTGGACGTGCTGGTCAACTCTGCTCCTGTTTGGCCGCCCAACAGGGTACCGGAACTTCATGAGCCTCCTGAACCCAGACGACAGGTGAGTAATTATTTTGTGTGTAGCATACCATATTATGGGGGGAATTCTCGGGTGAAGAAAGGCTGCTTTCAAGGTGGGGGAATTATGGGGGAAAGAGGGAGGTGCCTAAGCCTGCATGCATAAATGTTCTGGTGAACTGTGTGCCTGTGCTGCCAGCCAACGGGAATGTGAGCCTCCTCAACTCCGATATGACGTGAGCCTCCCCAACTCCGATGGCATATGAGTCGCCTAATGTGTTCTTGCAATCTGTTATGTGTCTGTGTTTGTGTTTGCTGTCGGCCAGCAGGGTCTATTGCAACTTTACGTGCCTTCTCAACCCTGACTGGCATATCAGTATAATGTAAAAGTGAATCCTTCCCTTCGTTGCAGCATGGCTGTGCAGTATGGGCATGCAGAAGGAAGTTTGTGGTGTATTATCGGCATGCTGCATCGTAAGGGCGGGAGGGGGGGTGAGAGGGGGGAAAGGGAGAGGAGGGGGGGCTCAAGTCTCTATATGCCCCTTTCCCCTACCCCCCTCTTCCATGTTCCCATTGTGCTTTCCGTACCCCCTCTTAGCAGCCTTGTGATGGCTAGGATTCCACTTGATGCCATTGAGTAGGTGGGCCTTGTGCATCTGAATGTTTCTCATCCCCCTAATCAATGTCCCCCATTACCCTTCCTGCTATCCCCTCCCCCGTTCCCAATTCCCCTTCCCCCTTTCCCGTTTCCCCCTTCTCCCCCACCCGCAAGCTCGTACTGGCTGGGATGCCACCTGATGCTGTCTCGCAGATGGGCCTGTCGGATCTCATTTTCAGGCAAAAGAAACTTGCAGGATCGGTGGTGGGCAGATGATACTGGAAGAGATGTTTGACTCTTGCGCTGCTAACAGCATCAAGCCCGTGACTGTGGTGTGTGAGTGTGATTGCAGTGACCGTGGGTGTGACTGTGGTAAATGTAGGTGTGACTGTGGTAAGTGAGTGTGACCGCGGTGAATGTGAGTGCCGGGGGTGGGGGGGGGAACCCCTCTGTGATCTCCACCTACATGAACACCTGCTTACCAACCTGCAGACTTCCCTTCACCTCCTGGTTACCTCCTAGTTACCACCTAGTTACTATTCGTGATAGAAATGTTTGACTTTTGTGTGGCCAACAACATTGAGCCTGCAATTGCAGAGTGAGTATGAGTGTGATTGTGGTGACTGTGAGTGTGATTGAGGAGCGAGTATGAACATGGTGAGTGTGAGAATGAGTATGGAGAATGAGTATGATTGTGGGTTGTGACTGGTGAGCGCGTGTGAGCGTGAGTGTGTTGAGTGAGTGTGAGTGTGACTGTAGTGAATGTGACTGTGGCGCATGATGTGATGTTGGTGGTGTCAGAATGTTATTCTCTAGCCTGTAGTGGGGTGCTCTATAGCGAGTACAACCCATCTAGGGTTTGCTATATGTATCCTCATTGCTGCTAGTGAACCTCCTCTTTTGCCTAAACTTTCTCTTGCCTAGCTAGGGTTCTCCTAGCTATGGCTCCTGCTTATGCTTACTCTCTTGACATGGTAACAGAGCCTTCACGCTCCTGGCCTGTGGGCCCCACTGCTG